ACATTCAGACAAGAGGCCAAGGGCACAGGGAGTGGTCCAAGTGCCAGATGCTCTCTGCATTCAGGTTATCGCATTTCATCCTGACACTAGCCCCTTCGGGGTGAGAGGCTTGGATAAGGTCACACGGCTGTACACGCTACCGAGTGGATTTCGACCCACAGCTGCCTGGCTCCCAAATCCCTGCCTTGTTCCCTGGACTCTGCCTTCTCAACCAAGAGCCAGGAAGTTTCTAAAGATAGCGGCGGGTCCCAGAAGTGAGGTCCAAATTCCTCGTACAGTGATGCCCACAGTGAATCACCTGAGTCCTGAGTCTATCTCTGGGGTTCAGGAATAGCTCGCAGGAAGGGCATTTTAGTTACACAGGTTTCTAAGTGTATGTGGGCGGGCACACATACTGGTCTTAGGAGTACAGGTGATTCAGATTAAGGAATTCCACCTATTGTTCTCACCGTAAATATAATGCAGATTTTAGCTAAGCTCTGTCCTGGCAGACACTGTGCCACTGGGAGACTGTTCTTAGGTCCCCTTGGGTCCTGGGAGGCATTTGTATTTTTTGTTTGAATTTAGCTGATTGATCCCTGAGCAAATATTTACCCTTCATGCTTAAAACTCTCACTCCTTCCCCTAGCCTTGGACGGCTGCCATAGGCTGACCTCTTCCCACCTCTCTATCCTGAACTTAAGCCATCTTCTCCTCACGGAGGCCCCCATGCCACAGTGGCCCTGTTCATCCCTCCACCTTCCAAGCTCAGCCCTGGCCCCAGGCCTTGGCACATGTGTTCTGCCTGGACAGCTTTTTGCCCAGAGCAGTTCTTGGCTGGCTTTTCCTTGCCATTCTGGTCCTAGTGTAAATATCACCACCCAGGAGGCCTTCCTGGACCATCCCATCTACAGCAGTCCCTCCCGAACCACAGTCACCGCCTGCTGCATGGACAGTATATGCTTTCTGTGTGTCTCTCCACCCCCACCCCCCAAACCTAAACAGTGCCTGTCACACAGTATGTGTTCCTTAGGAAGTAAATGAATGAATGGATGAAAGGTTTCTGGCAGACTGATGATGCTTCTTCACTCTGCTCCTACGGTCGGGAGAGTAGTGAGAAGGCCTCAGGCCACACGGTCCCCCATCTGCTGCGGACCACCAGGTGGCGAGCATTTCAAGGATTCTGTAGCCATTCCTCTAACACACCAACAAGTTCCAGCCGCTACACCTTGTTCCTGCAGTCCCTTCACCTGGCCTTCCCTCTATAGATGCCCCTGACTGTTGGAATCTCACTCAGCCTTCAAGGCCCCAGTTCAAATGTCACCTGCCTTGATTCTCCCGTGTCTCGGCTGGAAGGATGTTCTCTCTCCTCTGAGCCCCTGCAGCCTTCTGGCTGTCCCTCTGTGCAAACACATGCTCCTCTGCACTGAGAGCAACTGCAGACAGTCTGTATTCCTTTCTGGTAGCCTGCAGCACAGAGCAGGAGCTCAGCAGGCATCCAGACTGATCGACAGAGGAAGGTTTGGCTGACAGCTGGATGGACGTGAGGGTAGATGGCTCAGGATGTGACTCACAGCAGGGCCATCACCCTCATAGTCTCAGAGACCCCAAGATCAGGTTCCAGTTCTGGCTGTGCCTTTTTCTAGCTGGGACTTTAGGCAAATCATGTTACTACTCTGGGCCTAAATTTGCATGTCTGTAAAATGGAACTAATAGTAGTAACTTCACAGTAACTCAGAGGTTATTTTGAGAAATAAAAGGATTAGTGCTTTGAGAAATAAATGGCACAATGACTAGCATACAAAAACCCCTCACTAGATACCAACTATTATTATATGGACACAAGTCTGAGGCTAGTGTGGAACTCCTTCCCATGCCAGAGGCCAGGGGCATGGAGGTTAGCTTGGGCCTCACCACAGAGAGCAGGGATGCAGCAGGAATTCAGGACAGGGCCCTCTTTGTCCACATTCATTCATTCATTCGACAGTTACTTGTTGAGCACCTACTATGTGCCAGGCACTGGGATTCTGTATGGAAAAAGACAAAGTCCCTGTCCTCACGAAGCCTGCATTCTAGTATAGGAAGTCAGAGAATAAATAAAAAATAAGCAAATGCATCATTTCAGACAATGAAAGTCCTGTAAGTAAAACCACAGCACTTTGTAATAAAGAGTGCCTGGGTGCGGTCCCAGAAGGCTTTCCTGAGGAGGTGGATTTAAGCTGAAACCTAAGGAATGAGAAGGAGGCATCTGGGAGAAGAACATTCCAGGCAGGGAGATGAGCAAGTTGAGGAGCAGAGAGAAAGCTGGTGGGGCTGGAGCAGAGTGGACAGGAGGTAGGACATCGGGCGTGGGGACCAAGAGGTCTGCAGGGGTGGGGCCCAGGGACTCGGGGCTGCCATAGGAGGTTTGAATGTTAAGTTTGATGGGATGCCTGTAAGGGGTTGTAAGCAGGGTAAGTGATGACCTTATGTTTTGAAAAGACCCGGCAGTGGAGTGAAGAATGGTCTGGGGAGGGGTAAGGATAGGTGAGACACGATGGTGACCCAAACGACAGAGCAGGCAGTGGGAGGTGATCACATTCAAAGTATTTTTGAGTCCACAGGACCTGCTGGTGCATGTGGCAAGGACAGAAAGCGAGGAACCAGGAATGGCTCCAAGGGAGATGTTTGACTCTATATTGACGCGGAAGACGGCAGGAGGAGCCAAGTGGGAAAGATGGGCCACGAGGGCTTTGTGTTGGACGTGTAAAGCGTGTGCTGCTTAGAGAGAATATTCAGGTGCAAGTGTCTAGTGTGGGTTGGGTAGCACAAGTTTCGAGGTTAGGGCTGGGGTTACAGGTTGGGGGATCGTCAGCACGGAGTCGCTTTTTAAAGCAGGAGACAGCGAGAGATCACCTGGGGGAGAGTATGTGAATAGGGAGGAGGAGCCAGGAGAACCAGGAGAAGGTGTCACCAAAGCCAAAAGAGGAGAGCATTGCGAAGAGGGGTGCCCAGCTGTGACAACCGCTGCCGGGGGGTGGAGGAGGGCGAGCATGGACAGGGCTTTGGTGCCGTGGAAGCTGACGGGCCCTGACAAGAGCTCTCTGGGCGGGTAGTCTTGGAGGCTGGAGCTGTCTGAGGGGAGACTGTGCCGTGCAGACAGTCTCTGAGGCCTTCTCTGGGAGAGAGGGAAGACATATGGGGAGGGAGGCATATGTGGAGGGGATGTGGAGCCCAAGGAGGGTTTGCTTGTTTTTTTGTTCTTTTCAAAATATATTTCTAAATTGATTTCAGAGAGGAAGGGAGAGGGAACATAGAGACGTCAATGATGAGAGAGAAGCATTGATTGGCTACCTCCTGCAGGCCCCACACTAGGGATCGAGTCCACAACCCGGGTATGTGCCCTGACTGGGAATTGAATCACAGCCTTCTGATTCATAGGTCGACGCTCAACCACTGAGCCACGCCGGCTGGAGGTTTGCTTGTTTTTTAAGATGCGAGATATTACAGCACGTGTGTATGCTAATGGGAGAGATCAGGCAGAGAAGGGGAACTCGAGGTAGGAGAGAGAGGGTAATTACATGAGCAAAGTCCTTGAGGGGCTGGCCTCCCTAGATAGGACCGGGACAGTTAGAGTCAGGACAGGGAGGCAGCAGGGCTGGGTGCAGCACAAGGGAGACAGAGGCTCCTGCCTCGTTGCACTCCCACCAGGAAGCCTGGCTTCTAGTACTGACCCAGGCCTTCCTGTGTGACCCTGGGCAAGTTAGCGAATCTTTCTGGGCTGTGCTTTCCTGGGGGTAAAGCGAGAACCCCAGTGCCTGTCTGTCCTCTCTCCCGGGGTTCGCACACGTGGCCCAGCCTGTCTGAAAACCCATCTGATGGATTCCCAGTACAGAGATGCCACTGACTTTGGCCTGAGGCCAAGGTCATCTCAAAGGTCAGCCAAGCCTTGTCGCTTAGCAAGTGTCAGGGGCCCAGGGGTTGTGCCCTTTTATCCCCAGTCTCTCACCCCTTTGGAACAGCATGAATAAAAAGCCTGCCTCGCCCAGCTGCAGTGGCTCAGTGGTTGAGCATCCACAGATGAACCAGGAAGTCACAGTTCGATTCCTGGTCAGGGCACATGCCCGGGTTGCAGGCTCGATCCTTGGTAGGGGGTGTGCAGGAGGCAGCCAATCAATGATTCCTTCTCATCATTGATGTTTTTGTCCCTGCCTCAATGTCCCTATCTGTGACAAAAGGAAGCCAGTGGCTCAGTGGGCAGTCCTGGGGCTGTTGTCCCGGCCTCCAGGAGGCAGTGGGTAGAGAGAAGATAACACAGGCTTTGGAACTAGATCACACCCCAGCTCTGCCACTTTTTAGTTGTGTGACCTGCCAGAGGGAAAGATTTACTGTGACGCTTGAGTTCCAGGCCCTTGTCCCCAAGCCCTGTGCTAATTTTAGGTTTATAATTCTGTGTTCTTTTACTTATAAGAGCCCCCCCCCCCAAGTGCATAATATCTGGGGTAGGGGAGGCAGGGAGCAGTGGCACCTCCCCCTCCACCCAGGGTGTCTATGATGCCCATTGGCAAGGTCCCACCCCTCCTCCTCAGCAGACTTAGTCCTTAGAATCACAGGTGAGTACCTTCTCTCTCTGTTTATGTTCTTAATGGAACACACTGCCTGAGGCCAGCTTCATCCCACTCCCTTTCCATCCCCTCCAACAGCTAATCCTGCTCATTAGCCACTAAGCTTAGTTCAGGCAGTGTGGGCACATAGTAGGCAGACAAGCCCATCTGCTTCCACTTGCATCTTTCTTACTGAACTGGCTTCCTGGCTCCCAAGGCAGTAGATGCCAAATGCACCTAAGCAATTCACCTGGGCCTGTACCACTGGGTGCCAAGCAAAAGCCCCCTTTGACCTTTTAACCCTCATCCCTCGGGAGGACCAGGAGATTATAGCTTCACTTCCAGGCTAGGGGAGTCAGTAGGTTATGCTGGTCTTAAGGATCCCCAACCCTGGCCCAAACAGTCCCTCTCCTGCCCCCAAGAACCCCAAGTCCTTACCTTGGTGGGGATGAGGAGGGGCAGAGGCAGCAGGATAATGGGCAGGAGGTACACAAACAGGTAGAAGCGATAGGCCCACAGGCCCTGCCAGCAGGTGGCCATGGTGTGGACCCTGGACTGCTGCTGGAGCCACCGTCTCTCTGGAATCCAGGCAACTGAAGGACTGACTGAGCAGGTAGCCGGCTGGGGCAGGCTTATATAAAGCCCGTGGAGTGTTAACCATTGACCCACCCTGGCAATCAGAGTGTTTTTGGAGTCCGGGGGTGAGAGTAAGGAGGAGGGACTTGCAGGAGGTATAAAGATCAGGAAGACTTTGCAAGGAAAGGGAGGAGGGTGAGATCAAGGAGTAAATGCTTCAGGTTCTTTCAAGGAGTGAGGCCCAGAGTTAACCCCTTCTGTGCGTGCCAGCTGGGAAGGGCTGCTGGGAGGAGCTGGGGGAGGAAGGGTGCCTGGGAGGCTGCTGAGCTGGCCTCCAGAGGGTAAGTCCCCGAGCCGCCTCCCCAGCCCAACCTTTCCTTCCTCCTTCTATTGCCCAAAGCCAGGTTCTCCGAGAACTGTGTATCCAGGGCCAAGGGTAGGGCAGTGTTCCTCTAGAGAGGCCCTGACCTCTAGGAGTTTCCAGTCTAAGACTGTGGGAAGCCCAGGCCCGCAGCAAGCCCTCCTCTTCCTTCCAGGTGTCTAGGAAACCACGGGCCCTGACTGTCTCTTACTCACTTTGTGATGTTGAGCCACTGACTGAACTTCTCAGAATAGCCACTTCCTTGTTCTGCTGTAATATCTGCCTATTCTGAGGTTCAAATTAGACAAGTTATGGTGTGTTGAGCCTTGATATGTGGTAGGTACACAATAAAGGTTAGGGTTGTGTTGTTGTTTTTAAGGGTTTTCCCTAAATTGCCATGGAAGACCAGCAAAGATTGTCTCATATTTTGGAAATAATCTCTCCATTTATTCATCATCCATCCATCCACCAAACAAGTAGTTGGTGCTGATTATATATTTAGCCCCTGTGGACGAAAGGGGCCACATACTGACCTGACAAGCTCAGGGGAGGCCTGCATGGCAGTCTTGCAAACTCAGAGACCTAAAGTAACCACAAAGGATGCTCTGAAATTAAACTTTGACTAAAAGCAGTGATGGTGGGCAGTTACGTCCTAGGCCAGTATCTTCACTGACAAGGTCAACCTTTACCTTAACTGAGCCTATCTATCTGTCTTTTTGCATCTATGATAACAGACCCTTGAAATGTCTGGGTAACTTGTAACTTCCCTTTTTCTGGAGCCCCTGGGTCACAACCAAATGTGCTGGGTGCCAGGACAGAGACCACAAATTCCTTCATTATCATGTTCATTGATCCTGCACCCACCTAAGTGTGTGTTCATCATTTTACTTTTTATCCAATCCCAGGGTTTCCCCTGCTTTGCTTTCTTCCTCCTCCTTAATCTATCACATGATTTCATGTAACCCACCTACATACCTCCTTTTGGATTGCAAAATGTATAAATACATTATGTAACCCCCGCCCTTTCTTCGGAGGCATTTTTCTCAATTTCGTTGAGGTTCTGCTTCCCCAACAAGTTGGGCTCAAAATAAAACTCAACAAAAAGTTTCTTTACAGGTTTTCAATGGTTTTTACGTTAACCCCCCCATTCAAGTGCTAAAATGCTTCTGATAGGAGTTTAACATTTGTTCAGCAGTTAGTACACAGTGGTTTAGTATGCTGTTGGCATTTACTCGGTAAAACCCACACCATGAGTTCAGTGTTACTATTCCATTTTATGGGTTGGGAAACTGAGGCCCCGGACACAGAGACAGCCAGAATTCAAGCACAGCGATGCGTCGTTTAACATCGGGGATGCATTCTGAGAAGTGTGTTGTTGGGCGATTTTGTCATTGTGTGAACATCATGGAGGTACTTACACAAACCTGGATGGTCTAGTACAAGCTATAGCTCCTAGGCTACAAACCTGTACAGCATGTTACTGTACTGAATACCATAGGCAATTGTAATGCCTTGTGCTATGAAGTTACAATGGCTATGGCATCACTAAAAGATAGGAATTTTTCAGCTCCATTATAATTATAATCTATGGGACCACTGTTATATGTGTGGTCTGTTGTTGATGGAAACATCTCTTTTGCTGTTGTTATTAATCCTCACCTGAGAATATTTTTCCCATTGATTTTTAGAGAGAGTGAAAGGGAGGGAGAGTGGGAAGGG